AGTCTCTCCAATTCTTTGTCTATTTTTTCTATAGTAGCAAACGGTACATTTCGCTTCTTTCTAAAAATGGTTTGGATGTTTTCTTTTAATTCTATTTTGGCTTTAAATTTGTTGCATCGTCCCAACCCACTTGAAAATACCCCAGGAAATTGATTATATAATTCCTCCTTCAATTTTATAGTCTCTGATGGTTCAACCTCTAACTTTTTGCAAAATGAGTTGATAGGTAGGTCCCAAACGTTGAACTTCTGCATCCAGTCGATACCTACTAGATTTTCAGTATCTTTCATGACGTATATCTTGAGTTATTTGTTTTGCCGTGAAATTTAACATTCACGATTATTTCTCCCTCAAATTTTATTTGTTTGCCTGTAACCGACTTGGCAATTTTTTGAGTGTGTAACATGGTAGGTCTGTTGAGTTTTTTCCATGTCTGTAAGTTGATTATCGTGAGGTCACAACCCGAATCCAGTTGTAATTTAATCTTTTTATCTAAAATTTCCAGTTCCACATATTTCCTTACATTGGTGTTGTCATCGTAATTCATCCTTGTAGCTCTTATTCTATTAGTATCTTTTCTATTTCTACATTGGAATGCCTTGTGGTCCTTTTTTCCACATTCAAGACAGTTTTTATATCTGAAGCGGCAATCCTTGTTCCAATGTAATCCTCCACATCGATAACATGCTGATGGAGCGGGCTTATATTTGTTTCGATATTCGTCATAATTTGTCCTGTCTGTTGTACTTTTTCTCTTATCATAAAATTTTCTTTTTCTTTCCGGGGAGAGTGAGAATCTTTTTTCATTTTAAAATTTTAGTTTTCTTTCCAGGGAGGGTGAAGAACGTAGACTTTTGTTTAACTTACGTATATGAGAAACAGCTGATTCTTCAATGTCCTTTGCGTCTTTCTTTATACTTAAACATTTCTGGCAATCTTCTGATAATTGCTGTAATGTTAGACCCTGTTCATTTTGTAATTTTGCAAGCATTCTTCTGCGCATTTCGCTATCTTTTGTAGAAACCAGCCCTTGAACAAAGATGAGACATTTGAAATTGTCCGGGGTTAATTCCGCGAGTTTGAAGTCGTCACAATGTTTATTTACGATTGTGGCAAACGTGGAATAATCCTCATTATCGCCCTTTACCAGGTTATGGCATTTCCACCTCCTATAGAAGAGTGATGTTTTGGGGCTGAAGAGTTCTTTAAGACATGTCACTGCTTCGTCAAATGTTAATTCATTCGTCTTTCTTGGCAAGATATAATCCACGAACTTTGTATATTCTTCAGTTCCTAATTTTCTAAGCAATAGGCGTAGCTTTTTTGCTTCTGTCCAATTTTGACAATCTATATTAAAGATGTCTTCATGTCTTCTGAAGTAATCTCCAAAATTTTTGTCCTCATCTAGAGAATATTTGAAAATCTCTATGGTATTCCACACTGCGTCTTGCGAAAATGTTTCTTCTTTTTCAATATCTAATTGCTTGTTGCCCGCTACTTTCAATATTAGTTCCAGGAGCTCTGTTTGTCTATCTTAATTTTCCTTTTGCGTTTGTAATAATTGCTTTTGCCATTTTTCTTGTAGCTGTATCTGTTGATCATTTTGGTATTTTTGCATTTGTAATTGTTGCTCATTTTGGTGTTTTATCAGTTCTACCAACATATTTTTAAAATCTTCCATGATAACTCAATTTTATGTATTTTTACTCCTCATAATTGTTTATCGCTAATTTGTTGTTGGACGACGAGGGAAGGATTTTTCTATTTCTTCTTTTCGTGTGAGTTCAAGTCGCTCGAAGCCAATTTGCTTGTTGGACGACGAGGGAAGAATTTTTCTTTTGTTGATTTTTTTTTCTTTTCCGCTTGGGTTCGAAACTTCATCGCCAAGTTGTTTGTTGTACGACGAGGGAAGATTTTTCTTTTGTTGATTTGTTTTCCGCGTGTGTTCGAATCTTCATCGCCAAGTTGTTGTGTTGGACGACGAGGAAATATTTTTCTTTTGTTGATTTTTTGTTTCCCGCGTGTGTTCAAATCCTTGTCGCCAAGTTGTTGTGTTGGACGACGAGGAAATATTTTTCTTTTGTTTTTTTTTTTTTGTTTCCCACGTGTGTTCGAATCCTTGTCGCCAAGTTGTTGTGGATTCCGAAATGAATTCAGTCTCCAATGAAGAACAAACGCAATAATTAAATATAAGAAATAAAATGTATTTACACAATCATACAAAGGGTAATACTGTTAGTAAATCCAGGAACACGGTTAGTAGCAAATACCGATAGCTATATCCAGTCTCAAAGTAGGACTTCCTTAGAGTCTACGTGCTTGTAACTGACTTCTACAAGAGGCTACCTCACACTATCTCCGTTCGTATATTCTCTCTCTCTTTCCGACTACCCTCACTGACTGTCTAACTCTGGGTATTTAACGGCAGCAGTCCAGGTACACTGGTAAAGTCCACTTATATGAAAAAGGGGTGGACCCCATAACAGAAATGTAGTCTAGGTGTCTTGTTTTACATGACTAATATTTATCGAGCTTGCTGTGGTCTGTGAATACCATGAATTCACGCCCTTCTAAAAATGTAGGATAGATAAATAGATGGCAAGAAGTCGAAGATTTGATGTATTTCATCTGTGAGAAATTCAGCTTGAGAGAGAAATGGATATCGGTGTGTATCCCGTCAGTTGGGTAGTTTCCATTTTTCTATGGAATCATGGGAATTAGGCATTTTTTATTTCCCATGATTGCGATATCACTACATCATAAAACATTGATCAACATTTTAATCCTTGTCTTATTTTCAGTTAAATCTATGGACCAAAATTTAATACTAAGCTATCATAAGTTTAATAAAATTTCAGTTGGTCCTAATGTAAACTATTTCAATTAAAAATGTTTTCCAATTCTAAATAAAAGGGGGAACGTGAAAATGTTTAAGACATTCTTTTGGATAATCATCGATTTATGTTTTCATTCTCTAATTAAACTGATTTATTTTACCTGAAACTCTTCCATGGAACATTGTCGTTATCTATGGGAAATTTGTCCCGGCTTTCTCACATGAAAGGATTGAGGTTAAAAATGCGACAATATTGAAAAAAGCAACAACGGCTTGAAAGATTAGAGTGGACAATTCTCGATTTTTAGGCGGCTCTTTCAGGCGGAAGAATAAAGACTCAAACTCCTGCTCGGTGTGTAACAATAAAGGAAGAAAATGTTTATTTACATACACAAACAAAAGGGTAAAAGGATATACAATTATGAGAGAAAGAAAGGAAGAAGGAAATTCCTTTAAAGGAAGAAAGAAATGTTCATAAAAAAGAAAAGGCATGCTCATAATATTTCTATGGACACCTAAAAAGTTCTTTCAGCAAGTAGTAGATTGTTGTTAAAGGTTAAAACATTCACAGATTTGTTCAGAGTTCTTATATAGGAGGAAGCTGTCAGAAGATATGAATTTGGTAGTTGAGTGAATTCGTAGGCCGGCGGCAGATATCTTCTAGTTGCAAGGAGGCAGATCTCAGTTGGTTTTTAGTAGTGGGCCGACGTTCTTTCTCGACAGCCCATAGTAGGTAGTACTTTCTTAAGGATGACTGCTCTTCTGCCGCCGACCTGTTGGTATCATAGACGGTACCATAGACGGTTGTCGATTACTAACTGTCAAATAGGCAAAGATTTTCCATATAGATGGGGACCAAGAGGCTCAGAAATATCAGGGATTTTTCACTCCAAAATTGCTAAACAAATTTCCTAGCTCTTTCATTCGTTAGAAAATATATTCTTATCTCTGTTAAGAACAAGGTTTGGTAGCCGGCAAGGATCCGACAAGCTGCGAGCGCCTCCCCCAGATTTCATGGCACAAAGGATAGGATAATGATGTTCAAAGTCCTTTTTATAATTTCCAGCAATCTCGTTCGTCAGAAAATATATCCTTATCTCTGATAAGGATTGTTATAAAATAAAATAAGACATATCTCGGCTGATTTGCAGGTAAATAAACTAACATACTCAAGAGCGAGAGCCAGATGTGAACGGTACAAGGCCCCGTCAGAAAATGACCATATTTACGCGTTTACGCATATTCCCGACGCACGAGTTGCAGTCAAAAAATAAAATAATATTTTAAAGTGTTTCTATTTTTCGACCAATAAAAATGCTTCCCTCCTAATTATACTCGCGTTGTTTTACGAGCCAGTCAAGCCATAAAAAAACGCCATAAAAGGGGTCACACGGAAGTACAACGGCAGTCAACAGGAGGCCAGGGAAGAGACCTGTCACGGTCAGACTGAGTGGTCAGCAGCAGCCAGCAGCAGTAGCGCCACGCCAACCAGCGAGAACTACTATGAGAGATCAACCCAGATCTGTCCCAAAACCACACGTTCCTATTGAAATAAATCACGTAAATCTATTTCTACTGTTGTCGTATTTCTTTCTTGCAACCATACGCTTGTCTATAACAGGATAAAAGCTTTGGGAGCCGGATTTGAAAGCAAGGGGAAAAAAGTTGGGATGAGGATTAGAAAAGAGGCTAGAATGTGAACCTGTAATATATTGTAGTCATGGTTCTCAAATTAAATTCTAATACATCTGAACTTTTAAGATTTTTGTTGATTTAATCACGTTTCAATTGAGTGATTCTTAGCAGTCGGCAAATATACCGCGTTATCTCAATCCTCTTCAACATCCACTAACAGAAACAATTTACAGATTAACTGATTTAATTCAGAACGTGAGATCACCCAGGCAGGAGAATAGATAGCCAATGATATTTATTTTATCTTACCATGTAAAAAATAAGGAAAAGCAATAAGGATAAGTGTGAACATCAGTTGTTCATATGTCAGACTTGATATAACTTTAATGTGAACAGACAGCAAGCAGTTCGTTAATTTATGTGTTTGTTCCTAACATCACACATTCGTGTTTTGAAGAATAGTATTCAGATCAGTAGAGTAGTAAATCACATTCTACTTTAAATAAGTTAAGAATTTGATAACGCAAATATGAAGTGGGGTATTTGTGGCGCCGGGTTTGTTTCTCAAGATTTTTGCACAGCTCTGAGATTATTAAACCACGAAGACCATCAAGTAAGTCACTTTTGTTGCTTCATAATCAAAATTAATTCTATGAATTGCTTATATTGTACAGGTGTATATAGCGACGTTAACCATATATAATTAATATAGTAAATAAACTTCCAAATATCTGTAATAAAATTTAAAGTTGTAATTTAATTGTTTAGTTTACAATATCTTTTTATATAAAGGTGTATGTCTGCAAGTTGATTTTTTATGCATGTATCTTTTCATGTTAAGTTAAACAGATTCATTTGAAAAGTTCGTAGGATTGGACATGTGTCTGATCTAAAGAAATTCACATAGTTTTGAGTAAATGTTATTGTTCACAGTTTACTTTGCAGGGAAACAAAACAAGACATACAAGCCTATGAGCCTAGACAGGCTGATATGCAGTTTAAGTTTTTGGTGTGTCTTTTGATTTCTAGCTACTATTGGTTTAAAAGGAGTGGCTTGGTGTAGTTTCATGCAAACGAATTGGCATTTGAGGTTTAACTGACGACAACCTGTTACAAAGTCGCATAGTCATCTGAATAAAATTCTCTTTTTATATTTCCTGATTTGTTTTCTACTACGTCCATAAATTTTAAATGCTTATTATATATATATATATATATATATATATATATATTATTTTATTGTAAGAGATTATAATACAAATATGTTGAAATTGCTACATGTTTCAATACTTTGCACTTCTTCAGGCGATTGTAAGTAATAATAATATATTGTTCTACTTTGTATTGAGCACTTTTTAAAAAGTAAATGCTACGAGCAGTGGAATTTTACTCCAACTGTTCTATCCATTTGAATATATATAATATATATATATATATAGATAGATAGATAGATAGATAGATAGATAGATAATATCAGTAGTTAATATACACATACATATATGTACATATATCTAAAACACACAAATATACATACATACATACATACACATACACACACACACACACACACACTTATATATATATATATATATATGTAAAAAAAATTCCAAGAGGATAGAATCCAGGTAGAACTCAATGTCCAGGACAGAGTAAGGATATACTAAAATGGCTTAAACACTAGTACTCCATGGTCATAAATTATGACCATGGAGTAGTAGTGTTTAAGCCTTTTATTATATGTGTATATATATATATATATATATATATATATATATATATATATATATATTCACACAAGAGAACAAATAAAACAAGTACGGCCGATGAGAAGACAGGAATTGTTAATATAAAATTCTTTGTATTGCCAATAGTGAGGATTTGAGCAGAATATCTCTTTGTTGGCAAGGGAAGCGACTAAGAAGAAGAGTAGCATTGGTAGCGTTAGTAGGGCCTGGAATTAACGTGTGTATCAAGTCGGTTAACCAAGGTAGGGTGATGGTGTTGAAAGAGTCCAATAGTGGATTAGTTGAAGCCTGCCCATTCGCTGTGAATCTTTTTCAGTCTTTTTGAGTGGCCCTCTTAAAAATCCCCATGTTTTTTCTTTGGCAGCAATGTTCGTGATTGGCATTTTATGTTGTCTTTAATGTTTTCTGAGATGATTTGTTTTGTGGGACGTGTGGGACGTGCAGAGCCTCTGCGCAGAAAACAACTTTTCTATTTTTGGTTTTGCTTTCTTAGTGCTCACACTTAGCTGACATGTAGAGTGAACTAGAAAGAGATATATTTTGAAGCATAGTAGAATATATATATATATATATATATATATATATATATATATATATATATATAGTTTATATAAAGAGTTTGTTGTATGTATGTTTTACTCACTCTACACCTTTCTGACCAAAGCTCAATTAGATCTCATTTAAATATTCATGGAGACCTACCTGACACTATTTGTAACATATTTGTTGACAACACTAATATAATAGTATCATCTACATGCAAAAAAAGGCTAAAAATAATGGAAGCCTTATTGATAAAAACAAAAAATCCAACACTTAATAATATTAACTATGAACATGGACACAATATCTTGACCGTGTTTTGAAAAATTAAAACATTTTATAAAACATACATGCAACAAACTATTTCTTATTTAACACTTAAAATATTTAATCCTTGAAAATGGCTAAATGTATAGCCAAAAGTGCTCAGATAAAATGAGCATTCAGACAGATTTTATATAATTTATCATCTGAAAAGAAAAAATTATTAGATTGCATGAGAAATTGTATAAAAAACTAAATAAAAGCACCTTGCCTGTCGTATTCAATGAAATGTGCATGAAAGAAGGATTGCTGCCTAAATACTCATATATATATATATATATATATATATATATATATATATATATATAGCTGTTTTAATTATTAAATTTTGCATATTATTATTTTGCATATTATTACTGATCCTTTAATTTATAGTTGCTTTATAACACATCATTCACATGGCAGTTACCCTGAGAAATGGCAATAGATAGTAATGTTGTTGGGTTAATATGCACCACATTTTACTGATCATATGTCTGTTAACGGCCATCAGTGAATGGCAGTCTGAAAAGAGAACAGTTTTGAAACAGATGCAGTGAAGATGCTTTCCTAATGTGTGGGTAAAACACAGCCTCTTGAAACATGATGTACTGAACTTGTGAGTAAAGGCAGATTTTGTAACATCTGCTAGCTTTGTTTTTCAGGGTTGGGGAGAAGGCATACAACACATTTCTACATTTTGTTAATATGTTCTTTTTTTCTAGGAAATAAAACCTTCATTTACACTCTTCCACATTATCCCTAGCCATCTTCATTTTATTTTATTTTTTTTATATATTTTATTTTAAATGTTTGGGTAAATATCTGCTTTTAATGGCTTTGATAATACTGAGACTGATACATTTGGTAAACCCAAAAATTGCATAATTTTTCTTCATTTTGTAATTTAATTGTTAGTCACTTTGCTGAATCTTTGATTAACTAGAACTAGCTAGTAGCTTTGGTGTGTGCAGATTTTGAAAGATTTCGGGGAACATGAGTATGTGTGCATTGTGTGTGTGTGTGTGTGTGTGTTGTTATTTTTAGTATGAATGTTCTTAGTATTATCTACCACTCTAGGGTAGAGTTTCCTATCTATTTCATTGTATTCATTTATTTATCACAGTGTTCGGATTTTCTTTTGTATTTACATTATTCACTTAAGATTGAAGAAATTTTTCAATATTAATTATTCATGTTTGATTTCCAGTCTAAAAAAGAAGACAAATGTTATTTACTTAAATGTATATAAAAATTACAATAAAATATGGCCACTAAGGTGTATTCAAAGACAATACTTACATTTAAATTATTTTTTTCCAGAAAGATATCTATCATTTAAAAAATTATGCCACCAGCTATAGGAACTGATAGATTTAACATCAAGTCCAATAAGTTCAACTTTAAAAACCTTTGTGGGAAAAAAATCATCTGCCTTTAAATTTCAAAGTATGCATATTTTTCACTGATACTTGTAACAATAACATACTAAATCTTATAGAATGTATTTTCAAGTATTATTATTGAAACTATAAAATTAATGCAAGACATGATTAGATAATTCCTTGCTTTCATTTTTCATGAAGCCATGTGTAATAATCATTCTGTTCACTCAGTGACAAAAGAATAACACTACGGAAAAGATTACATTGTGCATGATGAAAGTGTTTTAAAAAATAGAAAATGAAAGAAATCAACCTTAGTATGTGTAGAGAATTACTTAAGCTTTCCATCTAGATATTGTAAGCAGAGATACAAATTCCATGAGTAAATAAGAAATGAAGAATTTTTTATAGCACTAACAAAGAATTTATTTGGCAAATAATATAACATATGTTATGAAGTTAGGGATAATTATTGCATGTGCTGATGAAAGTTGAAAAGGCAAAGAATAACACATTTTTGTGTGTGGTAGAGTAGCCACAATTATTATGTAGAAAAACTGACCTTGCATGAAATAGACATCTTAGAATTCACTAGAAATTCATAAATCATTATCAGTGATGACTCACAGATGAATCTATATGAGCCTAACATAACAAAAATGGTTGGACAGATGTATATATAATCACTCCAGAAGGGAGTTAGGCAGTCTCTCAGACCACAGGTGAGAATGTAAGGGACCATATTTCAGACAAGGGATCTGGGTTCTGTACCCAATTCGCTGGCTGAAAGTAACTGACATAGTCAGGAGTGAAATAAAATGTAATCATTTAATTGGCATATCACAACTTTATTATACTTTTGTATATTTTTACTTAGATTACTGCAGTAGCTGCCAGAGATATAGACAGAGCATGGAAATTTGCCAACGAATATAAAATACCAAAAGCTTTTGGTTGTTATGAAGATCTAGCCAAAGAACCAACTGTAGGTAAGTTGTAATTTTTAGTTACCATATATAGTCAAATATAGTGCAAGTTTTTATGATCTGTATTTTATCCAAAATATAGCAGGTTGTACTATATACAGGTAATTTTTTGAATAGGTTAAAAATCATGCATTTTTGGTGATCAGCTACACTACACACAGGTACATTTTTTCTTGAAGGGTTAAAATACATGAAAAAAAATTCAGGGGTTGCACTATACATGAAATCAGTTTATACATGATTATATACAGTAACTGAAAAAAAAACTTTATTAAATTCAAAAATTTTCATTTGCCTTTGAATATATAAATAAATGTTTTACTACTTAAATGTCCCCACCCCCAATCACTGTCTTCCATACATCAATAAGAGTTTTCAATAAATGTAAAGTTAAATGTTCATTTATTCTATTTATTTGTCATGTATATTTCTTTCTTATTGTTTTCTGCATGTAAATCTATAGTTATTATGTATATAAAGTACTTTTGTTAATATTTTTGGGTATGTGGAATGGATGAATTGGATTTACATTATTTATTATAGGAATATTACCTCAGTTTACTGAGGTTCCCCAGTGTATTAAAATAAACCTGTATCTATTGAATTATCAATATATATCACATTTGTCCCTTTTTCATTATCCTTTAGCAGATGTTCTAGAAGTTTATAACTCTAGGTGGAATTTATAGGAAAAAGGATTAATGTGTCAATTTTTTTGGCTTTCATGTATACCCCTCATATTGTTCTTCTATGTGCTATGTTATTTCCAGACATAGGCAATCATGGCTCACCACAATTTTCTATCCCACATGGACAATAGCAATGTTTCTCCTTTTGCCAATCACCCTTCATTCCACCATCCATTTACACAAGCTCATCAAGTAGATGGCTTGCTGCTTTCCCCTATTTCTCTTGCCCTCAATAAGTCCTGTGAGCGTTAATTTTTCCAAGTCCTCCTTCCTCATTGTGTCCAAGAAATTCAAGTCATCTGTTTCTGATTCTGATTATAAGTGTTCTTTTTGTTGCCATTTTCTTTAAGACTTTCTCATGGAATTCTCAGTATCCTTCTGTAGAACCACATTTCTGCTGCCTTCAGTTTTCTCTTCATTCATTCACTACCATATAAGAGGATGGATATCACATAGCAATCCAGCACTCCTCATACTAGCAATTTGAATTACTGACACCAGTACTTAATAACATTACAAGATGGCGTATCTGGTCTATATACTGCCATCATCTTCTCCAAGAAGCATGTTACCTTTCAAAAACAGAAACCTGATCATAACACTGTACTCTATTTCCATGGTCACAACTTACTGAACATTCACACCTGAAATACAGAAACATTTATGAATACAGGCTTTTAAATTGAAGTGTGATCTATATATGGTGTTGTAGCATACCTACAGATGATAATGGGTATGTTCCCATTCACATAAATACTGTAGTAAATACTGTATGTTGGTCTTCAGTTGGAGATTCGTCTCCAGCAGTGCTGGTCAAACACTGTGTCTCTGTTGGATCCCCAGACAAGACTATGTCGAAGGGCAGAGTCTTGTCTCAGGAAACAGCTACCCGACCCCATTTTATACAGTATCTACCGGGAATTTTTGGCTGAGCCTATGGGCTCAGATACTCACATTAAATTCGGCCTTGTGCCACATCTGACCGCGTGGGGTGGTTGGTAGATATTCTGTAGTTGGAGATTCATTGTGGAATTCACTTAACTCACTTCTAGCAGTTGACTACTTCTTCTATGCATCGTTGGCGAATCTTATATGTGTTGTTCTTGTCCTAAGTATTATCGTTCATTACCAAACTTTGTGTGATTATTCTATTCACTAACTTTCTCTAGGTTACAACATATGAATGAATAATTTTATATGTGAAGTTCAATCTCTCTGGATTCATTGGAAATGGGTCATGATAACGCTTTAATAAATCTCCACCTCCCTCTATCATATATTTACTGACATCAATTTGCAAACTTTGCTTGTTATCTTATCACTAAGTGCCTATTTCCTTGAGAAAAAATTTCAACTCAGAAGAGAGATATCAATCATATTTGAATAATAATGTCTTCCTTACAAACATGACTATTTTCAATAAAGTAAATATATTATGAATATACTAATATTATTCATGAAAATCTCATAAAGACATTAAATATCAAAAGTTTGTTTAGTTTATTGAGTAAAAATAAGACAATTCTATTTTATTTTTGACATTAACTTTGTAGGATTACTCTGCTTTGTCTGTAAGGGGACTTTTCTTAGCACCTACAAGGTGGTGTTGCATAAAGCAGTATAAAAGAAAAGAACTCAAATCTTCTCTCTTCAACCACAAGATACCATAGTGACAGGATGTATTCCATTTCCTCTCTGGGAGGGACCTATAAGTGGTGTAATAGGTGGTGGCTTGGAATGAAAAATCAGAGAACTGAGTTCAAATTCCAGTCAGATTTGATATATTCACTTATTGGGAAATGGCAGGAATCAAACTCCCCCAGCTATGGGTTAAATAGTGGGGCTATTTATGAAAAAAGCATTGTTATTGTTAATGCAATATTAACTTGTATTATTATTAGTACAATCCCTAAAATATATTTCAACTTGCAAAAGGTTTGATATGCTGTAAAAAAACAAATCAATCAATCCCCTCTGAGAGGCTTTTAAGCCCCTAGGTGAACTACAACATTTTTCTCTCTTTTTCTGAGATATGTTGCTCTCTCTCTCTCTCTCTCTATATATATATATATATATATATATATATATTTCTATGTATAAAGAAAAACATGTATGTGTTGAATTTACTTAATTTGAAAATGTTATGACATTTCAACCAAGTGTCGTTACAATTGGTAATCCCTTTCTGTTATAACTTTATGGAAAATCATATTTACTGTTTTTCTGGCAATTCCATACTTTCCATACTTAAATTTAACTTAAATTTTAACTTTTGCAACAAATTACTACTCTTAGTGCATTTTGCAGCCTTTTAGAGAGTTAATTGTTTTCAATTATAAAAATTCTCTCAAGAGCAGAATAAATGGCCATCTAAAAATGTAATATCTGAAGAATATGGAAGATAAGAGAAAACTTTCCAATCAAGCTGTAATAAATTTTGTCTGTTCATTAGGGAAATATATATTCTCATATAATCCTGATAGAATATTACAACTTTTCTTTTAACTAATTCTGGATACTTTTCATTGATTACCATTTTATGTTGGCCCAATTGGGAGTAGTTATTTAGATTAATTATATGAAACTTCAAAATAAACTTTTTTTCAATGTCACTATATACTCAGCATCACCTTCAGATTAAAATTGGCTTTTGGTTTTGTCAGTGGGGAGTTATTTTGCTTACCCTCTCTCTCTCTCTCTCTCTCTCTCTCTCTCTCTCTCTCTCTCTCTCTTGCATTCAACATTATTGTGAAGCACCCTCTTTTCATTACTCATTACAATTTAATTAAAACACAAAATATTTAAATATGGTCTATAACAGGGGTCAGCAACCTACGGCACGCATACCACATGTAGCATACCAAGCAACTCTCAAATGACATCACAAAGTTCAAACCAATAACTACTACAACACAAAGAAGATATTTAGCTGTTTCAATTTAAACATACACTAAAGTATATATGCTATATATTACTATATAAAATATATTGTAGAACAGGTATATTGACCTTGACTTGTATAATAATACGTCTGCTGTTGGCGCACTGAATGATTTTAAAACCCTAAATCGGCACATAGTTAGCAAAAGGTTGCTGACCCCTGGTCTATAATTTATATGCAAGCTACACATCAAAGCAACTAATATAAACAAAATAGTACCATTGATTTTCAGTGTTTGATTTGAATATAATTGGCTATTTCCTATTTCATATAATATTGATTATTCTTCTTACATAGTCCTGATTTGATAACTATCAACCTCAAGTGGTCTCTTCTAGTGTAGAATATCTCCATCACAAAATTTTGCAAACCAATTTAACATGTCCTATCATTCAGAGTATGAATAAATTGCAAAATTCGAAGTATTTTTTCATCTCTGAGCCACATTTTTACCTTTCTTAGAATAAAAAGGCATAATGTACCACAAGTGTTATTTTCTTCCATTTTCAGTGTTAAAATAAATCAAAAATCCACCAATTTTGGCAATTAATGTAAAGAAAAATAATTTTTAAAATGAAGTATCTTAAAACAAAACACTTCTAATATCTAACAAAAAAGAAATAAATATTTTGTCCAACTTAATAAATTGATGTGTTTGAAACTAATATCTGCTGCTACTTTTTGTTTATGTAACATGAAATGCTTATATTTGGTTCATTAATTTCTATTTTTATTGATTTTATTTTATTGTTAACCATCCTCTCCTATCACAAGTATAAACTTGTTAAGTGTATATATGAATATGATATACACTATTACTCAAGGACACATGGTGGATAAAGGCGGTAGTTAGATCCAGTGACATGACCCAAAGAGTGTGAGTTCAATACCCAGTTAAGGTAATTGCCTGGTTAAGGTAGTGGAGAACTTTCAGAGGGAAAATTAACAGGAGATAACTGATAACTGACATCCATTAAACATGGCACGTGGAACTAGAACTGTCTACCCCAGTGAGCAAAATAAAGGGTTCATTTCGACATTCCTTCCACCTGAAGAAGGCTGGAGCATACAATGGCTGAAACGTTATAATAAATATGAGGACAATAGTCTGAATAATGTAAATGATATATAAATATCACTTTGTCGAAATTCATTAATTTCCTTACATTCATCATTTACTTGTGCAAAATATTGTTGTCATTGCTTTTAGTCTAACTAGAATTAGTGCCTGCAACATTATGATGACTGTTGACATAATTTCAACATGTACCTGTGGAATCGTGGATTCCACCCTTTTGCGTGCGTGCGTGCGTGCATGCATATTGCACCCCTTCCTTTCACATTTGGCTAGATATAGCAGTAAATCGCTGACGTGAGGAAGGTTGCTGGCTAGCTACTCCTGATACCGTCTAGAATCAGAATTTGAAATCTTCCCGCGCATTTCACTGACAAACTTTATTTTTCAAGTCAGTCGCGGCCTGTTTCCAGAATAAGAAGGTTGACTCATTTATTCCGTGCCCCTTACCCCTACGAGGGCCGGAATATCTTCACTGACCAAAATTTCCTACTGAATCCTTGATGCATTATGCCGAATGTTTTCCTGTAATTTTAACATATTCAAACATGTTTGAATTTTCCTCCATTTACTACCGGAGATTGCAGAGATTATCATGCTTTTAAGAAAATTCTTTCTCCCGCAGCGAACAACTTGTTCAACTTTCCTCTGTTCACTTCGTAAGCTTACGACACTGTCGTTATCGCATTTTTGTAAGAACTAATTCCTCGTCATAATGCGAACAACTTTCGAACTTTTCCTCTGTTCACTACCAGAGTTCTACGACACTGACATCACCACACTTTTCCAAAACCAAATTCCTCATCTTGATGCGAACAACTCAGAATTTTCCTTCACTGAAGATTGATGAACTTTTCATACACCTCTTTTGAATTCTAACCTTTATGAACCAGTTTTAAAAAAAAGATAGCATTACATACACATTATTAAACCTCGCAGTGAGTATTTTTCCTTGTTGTGTATGCTTACACCTTTTGTACAAGAAGACTACATTCCAGAACTTTCATTCTGAAGAAACTTTTCCCGCCTTAGCCATTTTGGTTTTTGTTTTGGCGCGGAACTTTAACATTCTACTAATTACTACTTAATACAATCTGCCTACTGGCTAAGAACAGCCTTTACCTTTTCTGATAGTCTCCACTGTTGAGACAAGATTATTTGTTATTAAAATAAAATTTCATATATGTTTTCCACCAGACTCATTTTGTCGTTTTCTCCTGGCTATCTATATTTTACTATTTTTGTGCATGTGTAAAATGACCCTTTTTCCTCACTAAAGATCACACATTTATTATTTTTACTTTGTTTATGGATTCGATAGTCATAAGTAGTGTCTGGCACAAGGCTACCTTTTAGTAAACCAGCACTGCATGCTACCGGGCCCGCAACATACCTACCGCAACAGAAACTTTTTTCAGTTTTCATTTTGAATACAAAATTTTCACTTGCACTTTTTTCTGGAATGAAACCTACAGATTTATTCCATATTTAAATCTTATATTAAAGTTTTAGAAGTTAATGTTTAGAAGCTAATGTTTAGAAGTTAATGTTTAAAAGCTAATGTTTAGAAGTTAATGTTTAGAAGTTAATGTTTAAAAGCTAATGTTTAGAAGCTAATGTTTAGAAGTTAATGTTTAGAAGTTAATGTTTAGAAGTTAATGTTTAAAAGCTAATGTTTAAAAGCTAATGTTTAGAAGCTAATGTTTAAAAGCTAATGCTTAGAAGTTAATGTTTAGAAGCTAATGTTTAGAAGTTAATGTTTAGAAGCTAATGTTTAGAAGTTAATGTTTAGAAGCTAATGTTTAAGAAACAAAAAAGGAAAATACAATTAAGTTTTCTGATTTATTTTGAAAATACATGACAGTAATGGTTTTATACAAATGCTAAAACTTGGCTCAATAATATTGTCATAGATTGAGGTTTGATGTGTGTTTTAAGTAGTGTGTAAATTCTATCTTTTTATATAAATTATCAGCTTACTCATGAATTCTGCTTTAAGTTAGTTTATTTATTGAAATATTGTGCTTCATTAATGATATTTAATAAAAATAAGTTTCATTTTATTTAAAGTTGGTTAGTTTATAAAGCAATTTCTAAAGAAAGGAGATGGATTTTTTATTTATTAATCTGACAGATTTTTATCAGTTTCAATGTTATTTTTAGTGGATACTTTTATTTTAGTAGATGCTGTTTCTTTATTAAACTGCATACTTATTTATTTTTGTCTACCAGTCTGAATGTCCAAAAAATCTTATTAGTTTGAACCAGCAACCCCACTGGGCAGAAGGAAACCATCATTGGATTTGATATACCTTAATCAACTCAGCTCTAAAGAAACTTTGCTGATCAAGCAAGGTCTGAACAGTGCCTTTAAGCAAAATCCTTTTTGTCATAGATTCCTCAAAATTATATCTTTTCAGTTGCAATTTCTAAAGTAATGGATTTTTTATTTATTAATCTGACAGATTTTTATAACTTAAACTTCGTTTTTAGTGGATATATATTTGAGTAGATGCACTACTCAAATACAAGTATCTGCTAAAAATAACATTTAGTTTATAAAATATATTTTAATGATATGTCTGTTATAATTTAAGAGTATAAAATGTATTTTATCAAATTTCAATTTATATAGATTTTCGTGATTATTCATAATGCACATATAATAACCAGTACAATCCTCCTGTCTCTTGTCGCTCTTAATAAGTTTTGTCTTTTTGTTATTTCTCCCATCTCTGTTCTGCTCTCCATTTGCTCAAACCCATTAAGTACATCACGCATTGCTTTTCCCTGTCCCTCTTTCCTTCTATTGATCCTGTGAGTATCAGATTTTCAAAGCCCTCTTTCTTCATTATATGTCACAGAAATTTCAGCTGCTTCTTCCTGATGTTAAGTATACTTCTTTGTTTCCATTCTCTCTAAAACCTCATTGTTGCTCACTTGTTTGGCCCATGGTATCCACTGCCATTTATTTTTCATTTCTATAATGTAAACATGAAAATCATTAATATGACCATTATTTCCTCAAATGTTATCTTAATTTAATTTCTTTGTTTTTTGCGTCTATTTTATTGTATTCAGATGTTGTATACATTGGAGTTATTAACACTGAGCATTGTCGTTTGTCATTAATGATGCTTAACAATAACAAACATGTGCTTTGTGAGAAACCAGCCACTATGAACCTAATGCAACTTCAAAAAGTGATAAATACTGCCAAGGAAAAGAAGCTTTTCTTTCTGGGGGTAAGTATCTATATGAAGTATTAATGCAATTACCTGAAGTTAGAAAATAGATTAATATTTTAATTCATCATGTAGGGTGGATGAGGTTATGTTTGTTAAAGATGCAATATGATTTCATGAGAGAACCAATGCAACAACAAAGTACCACTGGTTAATGGAAAAGGAAAGAAGACAAGAATTGCTAAGATAAAATTCTTTATATTATTTACATTATTCAGACTATTGTCCTCATCTTTGTCACCATATTTATCACAACGTTTCAGCCATTGTATGCTCCAGCCTTCTTCAGGTGGAAGGAATGTTGAAATGAAACCTTTATTTTGCTCACTGGGGTAGACAGTTCTAGTTCCACATGCCATGTTTAATGGATGTCAGTTATCAGTTATCTCCTGTTAATTTCCCTCTGAAAGTTCTCCACTGCCTTAACCGGGTATTGGTTAGATCCAGTGACAGGACCCAAAGAGTGTAAGTTAAGGCAGTGGAGAAGGTTGTGATAAATATGGCAACAAAGATGAGGACAATAGTCCGAATAATGTAAATAATGTACATAATACCTCATCTCAGAAATATAGACATAAAATTCTTTGTTTTACCAATATAGAGGTTCAAAATGGAATGTCTCTGTGAGAGCGGGAAGTGACCTGGACGATGGTTAGAGTTGGTAGGGCTTGGAGTTGATGATTGTGTTGGGTTAGCTAACTGAGGTCACTGGCTCCTTTTATATTGTATTTTATAATTTTTTTTGTTTTGTGATCTGGATGTGATACTTAGAGTCCCTACACAGAAAGTGACTTTTTTATTTTTGCTTTCTTAGTGTTCGCATCTGGTTGACAGGTTTTGATGTAGAGCAAATCTCGTTTAAAGTAGAGTATAACAGGTTATCCAACAATGAAACTGTAATTTCTTGTATTTAACCTGATGTAAGACTTTGCATTATAATTATTATTTTTCTTGCAGAGACTGCTGCCTTAAATGACTTTCTGGGTAGTGCAACTCCACTGATCCAGTGATGAACCCACATATCCCTTCCTATGAATTATCCTGCTTAGGAAGTTGCCATTAGTATTGTTCAATTCCAGAAGCACTTGGATAAGCAATCACACTCTGCTCTTTCATGGAGTCTGTTCTCATTTTGGGAACACACTTTGCACAGACCTTTGAGTAGTCAAGAGATTGCATTAAACTGCAGCTATTGCCATGACTCACATAGCCATTCTTTTGTTAGCTGTAATGAAAATATCAGCCAGTTTAGCTTTATCTTTGTATGCAACTTGTCTGTCACTTCAGAGTCTGTCACTAAGATCAATTTCTTTTTTTCTTTCTAATATTACCATTAATTATACTGACCCATTTCTTTACTGTACAACTTTTCTGTAAATATTCACTAGTCTCCTGTGCATGTTTACAGCATTTTCTTCTTTCAAAAACAGAAATTATATAGCATTTCATTTTCTTTTGTATGTTCAGACAGACAGCCATTTTGAAAGATAATGTGTAAAAAAAGAGAAGATAACTCCATATTTTTTTTTCTTTAGACTTCTAAACACTTTATAGTTTATAGGTTCCTAGAGATATTCTTCATTTGAACATTAATTTCAATTCTTGTATATATCTCCTTTAATGATGGACTACATGTTTTCTATTGGCATTTGGAAATACTGGGAGCCATTTCATTAATTTGATGTCTTTGAAACCTTTTTTGGTAAGATGTATAATAGTCATCTTTTCAAAACGTGAAAAAGCATTGTCTTGTCTGATTATACACTTTTTCCAAGTCTTCCTTCTTCATTATGTTCTCTAAAAATTCCAACTATCTTTTCCTGATGTTAAGTTTAAGTATCCTTGTTGTTTCCATTTTGTCTAAAACTTCATAATTGTTTACATGTTTAGTCCATGGTATTCTCAGCATCCTTCTGTAGAATCACAATTCTGTTGCTTCAAGTCTCTTCTTCATCTGTGAGGAGATTGCATTAGGGGTCAGTAAATCTACTACTAAGGCACTTGAAATAACTCATCAAGCTTTTGGTGAAGATTCTTCAGGTCAAACACAGAGTTCTGAATGAGATGCTCACTCCAAGACTGGTTCAGTGTTGGTTCAAGACAGTAAGCATTTTGGGCAACCAAAATTCCAGAAAACATAAAAAGAAATTGTAAACCCATCCACTAGGGACTTGAAACTCTCTCATATCAGTTGAATTATTTATGGAGTATAGTAGGTGATTCTAATCCAAGAACTTTCTCATCATTTTACCTTTGATAAAATTTCTTTATATGCACAGAAAATTTTTATTTCCAGGGTCTTTGGTCACGCTTCTTTCCAGCCTATGAAAAAATACGCAGTGCATTGAATTCCAAGACTCTTGGTGAGGTATCTACTTTTTATTATATTCTTATTAAAGATGAATACTAGCTGAACCATGGACAATATAGGTTTGATTTTTTTCACTTTGATACAAATTTAGTCAAAATATATTGGCACTCTACTGAAGTTTCTAAGGATAAGATTAATAAAAGCAATCTGCAAGCAAATTCTATGAACTAAATCAGACACTTGCTAACTACATTAGTAAATTTAGTATCTTAAAATATATTGAAATACTTTGAAAATTCTTTTGATAATCATATTAGAATTATTTTCACATAGATGTATTTGTGTAAATGTATATATATTAACCATAAACCCTAAATTGTGGTATACAAGTTGACCTGGTGTACAAGTCAAAATTCTGAAGTTAGGCCTATACCTGCTGTATAGGTTAACACCCCCAACCAACCAACATCTGGTAGGCTGCTATATGTTGGTGGGGGGGGAGGTGTTGTCAACCTATACTTAACTATTGATTCAATATAATCACTCTACTTCATGTCAGTAGAAAACATGAAATGAAGAAGCCACAATGAATTAATCTCCTGGAGGTTAGCATCAGCCATGCTAATGGAGTGCAAAAATGGTTCTCTATGATGATTAAATGATAGCAGTTTCATTTTGGAGGCATTAAAATTTACAATCTACTTTTTGTCAAAGTTAACCACTGATTGGAGATTGTTTTAAAGAGCACCTGCTAATTTTATTTTGTCATATCTATCTGGATTACTATTAAGACAGGTGTAAATAGTCGTGTCATCTGCATAAATACCTGGTTGGCAACAGATGACGTAGTGAAAGTCATTGATGAAGATCAAAAACAGCGTAGGTTCAAGAAAATAATCCTGAATGACTCTGCATTAATAGGGAATGATCTAGAATCATGGCTATTCAACACAACCTTCATTATCCAATTTAAGAACAACTGGATTAAATCAAATATCTGGCCAGAGATACCAAAATGTTTGACCTTATGGCCACATCATGTTAGAACACTGGTTCCCATACAATCACCAAAATTAAGCCTGGTCAGTACCTAAATGGATGACTACTTGGGAATATCAGGTGATCTAAGCTTGGATGTGCAGGTGGTATAATGGATAATGGCTTGGAATCAGAGAACTGAGTTCCAAGTCCTGTTGGATTCATTATATTCACCTATGTTCAAATATCCTTGGGAAAGTTTCCACTTCTTATCCCCCAGGCTATGGGTTAATTAGTAAAACTTGTATCACTAAACCATTATTATCTCAAAAACAAAATCTTGCAATCTAAAAATAATTTTCTTTCTTTAAATAATATGCAAAGGGTTGATAAACCATAGAAAACAAATCAATCAATCAATCAATAAAAATGTTTGGATTTACCTAACAATGGTATTTTTTTAAAAAATCAAAACCATTCAGTAGCAATAAATAAGTATTTGAATAAGTAATATCAGTTGTGTGTTACTAGCTAATTTTATATAGATTATAGGATTATCTAAGTTTTAATTCAGAAAATTTGTTTCCATCCAGGTGCGCTATGTTGAAGCTGAATTTGGTCGACCAATCATTCATAGTCCTAGGTTACACAAGCCTGAATTAGGTGGGGGTGGTCTTCTTGATATTGGAGCCTATGTTCTCCAATTTGCTGTATTGGTTTTCAAAGAAATGCCAGAAAGAATTATTGCAGCAGGACATCTCCATACAACTGGTAATTATTATCTACTCCTTTTAATTTTCATAAACATGCTCATTTTGGGGGTGAATCAATAAATCTAGAGCCTGATATGTAGTTATCAACGGAATCAAAATCTGAAATTTTCACTGTATAATGTTCAGTCTATTTGTTTAATGCAATAATGCCATTGTACACTTTTAATAATAAAAATATATATATAATAGCCGTTGCCCAAGTGTATATAGCTGCAATTGTATAACCACACTCACTGTATACCACACCCTCTTGCCTAGAAATGTCTGCCTGCATCCCCACTTGCATGCATCATCTGTTGGTATACTAAGCTCACCTTTTTTACAGTATGTCTTTTGCAATTGTTTGATTGTTCTTAATAAAGGAATTCTATTGATAAAAAATTTCTTGTGTGGTCATTGCTCAGAGTTAAATTGTTTCAATGTTTTAGATATTCAGTAAATTTCCTATGGCCATAATAATTTTCAAATTTACTATGGTATTGTTCATAAATCTAATAATCAAACAAAAACAAGGAATAAGCATTAGCACTTGATTCAACTACAGATGCAAATACATGAACACCCTTTCCACTTCTTCTTTGCATGTTTACCGTAAAGATGGGTTTAATAAGAGGTTCTTTGGGAATTTTTCCCTTTTAACACTTCAATAATCCTTTTCAAACAATCTTTGCATCAAAGGTTGCTTGAATGCCAATATAGGATAGAATCATATCAAGAAAGTATTGCTAAATGACATAAGCCAATTTTGAGCCGAGTTTGTCACAGATTTCATCAACTGAAATAATCCAAGCCAAACATTCACACAATATAATTTGTAATAATATGTAATTTATTTGGCAAATTTGGAAAGCATTGGATGAAAAACCAGGGAGTTATGACCAAAAAATGGGCTTTTTGAACAGTTTTTTGTGGTTTTTTGTTACATTGCGGGGAAGCAAGCAGGACTAAAACCACGCTATCTTGTTTCTTGCATGATGGCAAATTTTTGTGTCATGTTTGAAGAAAATTAGATAAAAAAATGAGGAAGTTATTCAATTTTTTAATTTAAATAGTACAAAATACCTGATTTTTTCACAGTTTTTTCAATTTTTGCAAAAAGTTTTACCCACCTTCAGTTTTATTGATTTTTCTGCCAAAGTAGATGGGGGGGGCTGGAGATTGAAAAGTTGGTTTTGACCTATGTTGGTAAATTTGTAATATGTGTGTACAATTTCATTGAAATCAATCAAGAAATGTGGATGTGCATAAATAGCATACACACACAGACACACACACAGACATCTTCTGTTTTATAGATATAGATAACATTTCATTTTATCCAACACTGAACTTTATCAATTATCAACAGCTGGGGCCTTCTCAGAAGATGAACTCTGCATTTTATGTGGATTTCTGACCTAATCTCTTTGGGGGCAAGGTATCAGGTCATCCCATAAGTTCTGTTTGAATTTTGAATAAAGAAAACAAGGGACCAAATGTTACATTTACTTACAGATTTAACAATGTATTTTCCCTGATTATCTATGACTTCCTTACATCTATTAAGAAGCTTACTAATTCTATTACTGTAAAATTCTTTTGGCTTTGATTCAAAGAACTCACAAATGTCAGTTTTAACCTCTTTCTGTGTTACAAAAGCTGTTTCTTCCAAATGATTCTGTAAGCTACAAAACAAATGGTAGTCTGAAGGAGCAAGATCGGGAGAATAAGGTGGATGAGGAATTTTCTCCCAACCAAGTTCTTTGATCTTTTGTGAGGTGATTCTTGCTGTGTGGGGTCATGCATTGTCCTGATGAAACATCACCCCTTTTTGATCCACTAGAGCAGGTCTTTTTTTCCTCAAAGCTTGGTTCAAACGCTCTAATTGCTGACAGTATATTTGAGCATTAATTGTTGCATTAGGTGTAAGAATTTAAAGTGGATTATTCCTTGGTGATCTTACCAGATTGAAAGAAGAACCTTTTGCCCATGAAGTTCCCTTCTCAGCTGGTCTGGGGTTCTTCCCCTTTACCAAGCCACTGTCTATGATGCTTAACATTTTGATAAAAGATCCATTTTTCGTTGCCAGTCACAAGTCTATACAAAAAAGGTAAAACAAGTTGGTGAGAATGGAGAGAAGAGCAGATGTCAACTTGGGATTTGAGGTTGTTTACAGACAATTCATGAGGCACCCATTTTCCAAGTTTAGGAACTTTTCCAAGTTTAAATGCATCTAAACATAAAAATAATGTTCAGCTCTATTAGACATTATAAAATACTCTTTAAATTTCGTTCATTTTAAAAAAAAGGTAAAATTCGGACGGAACTTATTGGATTAACTGACATATCAGGTATCATGAATACCATGTCATGTTTGTACAAGGGTTGGACAAAATAATTGGAACACTTGTTAAATTCAAAGAAAATTTATTTAATATGGAGTTGGTCCTCCTTTAGCCTTACAGACAGCTTTAATACATCTAGGAATGGAATCATACAGCTTCCTGACTTCATCCAGAGGAATTTTCAGTCATTCTTCCATTAAAACCTTCTCCAGCTCTTTACGACATGACGGTGGAGGATAGTGGCTCCTAACTTGTTGCTCCAAAATGCACCACAAATGTTCAATAATATTGATATCTTGAGATTGGGGAGGCCACTCCATGTGTTCTAGCTCACTTTTAAGCTCTTCATATCAATTCTTAACCACTTGAGTGGTATGCATTGTAGCATTATCGTCTTGGAAGATACAGTCACCATCAGGGAATAAAGTCTTGGTCATTTTGATGAACATGATCTCCCAAAATGTTCAGGTAATCTTTGCTGTTGATTCTACCATGCAGGGCAACTATTGGACTGAGACATTTCCATGATATGGCAGCCCAAACTCTCACTGATCCACCTCCATGCTTCACTGTTCTAAAAATAAATAAGACAAAGACAGTAAATTAGATAAATAAATGTATTTACAATAGATATAACCTGCAATTATGAAGTTTTAGTTAAAGTTCTTAATATAATAGGTCTTTGAAATATAGGAGTGGATTTTGCAACTGTTCCAATTATTTTGTCCAACCCCTGTATATCCCAGACACAGCTGGATTGATCACATGTTCCTCTTCATGTGTCAGGGCAACCATTGACAGTGGTTGAATCATGGATCACTCCCCCCTCCTCCGCAAGCTAGATCATTCTTCAGGTCAACCCTCTGAAAGAACTAAGTACAAAGTCTGTCCTAGCATGATCTGGAGTGAGGCACATACATTAATGTTCACCACTGACTTAAATGGATCGACTAAAAAGGATATTATGTTGGAAAATAATAATTTTTTGTGTAAAATAACTGCTTTTCTCATCATTAAGCTACTGACTTATTGATGTACCTATCTGTGTTTAAAACTGTAGAGAAAGAATTTATTCCAAGTTTTTATGAAATGTAACTAAAATTTGTGTCTTATCAAGAGAATTTATTTTTTTTCTTTTGATTTCAAAGATTTCTATCTTTCTTTCAATATTACTTTTTTATCATCTCTCTTCATAGATTACAAGATTAAGAAACTCAAAATACATAATAAACCTGTAATGAAAAGACAATGCTGAATATCAACATTGAAAGCTTTATTCTGCTGAACTGAAAGTTAGTAGTTAAACAGTCTTTTATACAGATTGGTTATTATTGAAATGGGTAGGGTGGGATAGTCCATTATTATCACAAAAACTATACTTATTGATTGACTGTTTTCCCATTTTGTTACAAAAATGCATATTAAATTGATAAAATTTTGTATAACTAAATTCCCAAAGTAATTTGGAGATGTTTAAATATACAAATGACACAATACTGATAGCAGACAGTACAGAAAAGAAACTATAAAAACTCCTCTAGAAGGTAGTGAAGGAAAGTGAGAAGAAAGGACTAAGCATCAATTGCAAGAAGATAGAATGCATAGTTGTTAGCAAAAGGAACAACACAACATGCAAATTACAAATTGGACATACCAAAATGAAACAAGTGCAACAATTTAAATATCTGGGATGTGTTTTAACAGAGGATGGAAAGTTTGACACTGTAATTTGAAGGTGTATTGGGATAGCAAAAGAGGCCTTACAAAAGCTAAGCAAAGTATTAAGAAAAAAAAATTTCATTAGAAACAAAGAAAAGTGTACTTAAATGTTACATAATATCAGCCTGCTTATATTGTAGCAAATGCTGCGCAGTCTCCTTACAGATGAAGAAGAGACTTGAAGCAACAGAAATATGGTTCTACAGAAGAATGTTGAGAATACTATAAACCAAATATGTGACCAATGTCAAAGTTTTACAGAAAATATAAACAAAATGTCACTTATACTTAACATAAGAAAGTGCACATAATGAGGAAAGAGGGCTTGGAAAATTTAATAATCACAGGGCAGATTGAGGGTAAGAGGGTCAGAGGAAAATATTGTGTAACCTTCCTCACAAGTTTGAATAAATAGATGACAGAACAAGATTTAGGGGAGATAACAAAAAAATAACATTTATTAAGAGCTACAAAGGACAGGAAATTGTGGAGAGGCATGATCGCCAACCTCCTGAAGGGACACAGCACGTAGAAGAAGATTATAATTTTAATAATTTTTATAAGACAGCTAACAGTGTTCCTGCTGCACTTGGATACAATACATTCTCCTGTACTGTTTATGCTATTTGTGCAATTCTTGAGCCAGTCTCAAAAGTCATGCCTGTGATAGGCATGCACATAATTAGTTTGTGGTCGTCAGAACCTCATACATTGAACTCAACAGGAGAGTCCATCATATATATATATATATATATATATATATATATATATATATATATATAATAATGAATAATCCTGAAAAGGTTATAATTTATTTTGTGAAACTCAAGGTCCATGAAATAAATTATCACCTGACCAAATGGATTTTCAAGGATTCTGTATTCATTATTATATTTGCTCTGTTCTTGCATTGAGCTCTCTTTGGATTTATATCCTCCTTGGAATTATCCTTACTAATCATCAAGTGATATTATATATATATATATATATATATATATATATATATATATATATATATATGTACATTCTTACTTTCAAAATTACATTTAAAATGCCCTGTACCTTTGCCACTTTCAAAAGAAAACATCAGATAAAACTAGAGACAAAAAGCCTGTTAACTCTTTATATATTATCAGTGGGACTTCTGCTGATACATCACTGATGATAGAGATTATATATTGAGTTTATATTTAGTAACCTTGAGAGATATGCATGCAATACTAGTTCCATCTGTCAGGCTACTCCTGTTACAAGGCTTAACAAAATTCATCACTGTGAACAAAGATTCACAAGCATATGTAGATGAAAACATGGATAGTAATTCTTTTGTAAGGTTTTTTAAACAGGCAAAGTTTTCTGGAATGGTATTCCAAGTCCTTAATGCTTCATTTTCTGCATTTTTCTCTGATATTCCCATCTCTAATCGTTCCTTTTCAATATTTTCCAAGTCAACAAATTTCTGCTTCAAAATTGAGCTACTCTGAAATTCAATCAACTGCATTTCAAAATCATCCATGTCTATCCATGAAAACATTTGCAAGTTTAGTTTACCCAGTTTTATACTGTCAGGAAACTTAATGAATTTTGCTGTCTCTTCCAGTTCTCTGAATTTATCAAATTTTGTAAAGAACTGCTCAACATTTGATTCGATGATGTTTACAAACAGCTTTTGAAAACACTGGCAGTCTTTTTGTCATCTTTTGGGAGATAATTGATGTACGTCTTTAGGTTTGGGAAGTATCTAAATCTCTCATTATCTAAATCCTTAAAAAAAAACTTCTAGTTTCATTTGAAAAGCCTGTATGTAACAAAACATAACATCAAGTGTCTTACCAGAGCCTGGTAATTTAATATTCAAGTCATTTAAATGTTCATGAAACTCTGCCAAAAAAAAATCAGTTTACAAACCCACATGATGTTAGACAATTCTTCTTGCTGGTCATTCAAAAAGAGCTTTATCTCATCTAAACATTCAACAAATTGTTTCTGAACCAAACCTTGGCTAAGCCAACAAACACTGTTGTATATTTTCAGTCCTTTATATACAGAATCTACCTAATTCAGTAAAATTTGAAATTGTCTTTTATTTAAAGCCTGAGCTGAAATGTAATTAACAAACTTGTTAACTGTTTGCATCACTTCCTGAAGTTCCTTTAGACCAACTTTTGCACACAAAGCCTCCTCATGTATGATGCAATAAAAACCTATCAGTGAATGGCAAACATCTTTTGTAAACAGATTTAAAAATCCTGCCTTCTCACCAGTCATGCTGGGGGGTACCATCTGTAGTGGCAGATATTTTTGAAATGTGAATTTGTCAAGTTCATAATTGCTTTACATATTTCAGCCCCAGAAGTATGCTCAAGTAGTTTTACAAGGGTAATCAACTCTTCATATATTTCATCACCCCCTACAAAACTGAGAAAATATGGTTAGCCTAGCTGATAATGTAATGTCCGTACTTTCATCAGCACAAATAGAAAAAAATTTACACGAAGACAAATCTTTTGTCACTTGTTCAGCTGTATTCCTTTCCAACTTAAGTAACCAATCCATAGCTGTTTTTCTATTTACAGAAAAATCTTTAATGCACTGAATAATCTTTTCCTTTTCTGAAAAATTGCCAAAAAGGAAAGGTGCACATTCTAGCCAAGCTTTTTTAATATATTCCCCATCACTGAGTGACTTTCCATGTTGAGCAATAACTTTTGAAACCTCAAAACTAGTTCAGTTGGAATTAGGCCTACCTGAAATAAAGTTCATAAAAGTATCAGTCTGTTTTTTTTTTGTCTTGTTCAGTTCATGAGAAATTAATTCTCTTTGTTCTTCCTCAGTTTTATTGCTTACATTCTTATGAACATTTTCAAAATGTCTCTTTACAGAAGAAGTCCTACAAATGATTGTTTTGGAACAGAAAATGTATAAGGATTTATTGTCTTTCCTAATCATGCTAAATTTTTCAGTTCAATTCTCTTTAAATTTTCTAATATCCTCTTCATTTGAATATGTAGAAGGTTACAGGACTCATGATGTGACAATACAAATTATAAAAACCATTTGTGGTGATTGCAATTCTCACTTTGTATATCATTAATATGTCTTGGATCAGTTATAATAAATTTAGTACAGGATATAAAAAAATTGAAAATAGAATAATCTGTTCGAGGTAATTTGACCCTCACACTGCAAGTTACTGCAAAAGTAAAAGATTAACCTAAAAACTCGAGTCATTTTTTTAAATAGCCTCATCAGATTAAAACTTTCACATGATTGCTATGCATGGTTCCAAACTTATTCTAAAATGTCTAAACTGCCAGCCATATATAACTACTTCCTCAGATCAATGATTAAAAATGGCTTCAAATGAATGAAGCCTGTAGGTCTTAGCAAGGATCATCCTTCCTCGAAAGTTGTAAACAGGTGCTACAGAATTATAAACAAGGAACTGTACTAGATAGTAGAAACCACATCACTTGGGGACAATCAACAGCAGCAACAGCTAAAATGGATAGCACATATAACTCAAAGAGAAAATAATAACATAATCAAGATATTGACATTCCACACTACTTCAAGCAAAAGGTTAGGATGAAAAGAGTAATAAGTGTTACTGGACTTGAGAAACCTATTTTCCTGAAAAATTATTTTAAGAGACAGATTTCATAAATTTCATCTGACAGCAGTATTGGCTGCTTCAGCAATAAATGCTAAATGTTAGTGTTATGAAATCCTTTGTATTTTCTTAGTCCAACAGTAGGGCAGTTGTTAATCTTGCATATTGTATTCTGCCCCACCCCTTAACTGCTTGGGCACTTATATAGTTTATGCTATGCTAATTAGATAGTCATTTGCATAACACTACAGTTTCCTTATAAGGAAACAGCTAATATTACCATTACCATTATAGCACTTTAATAAGTGGGGCAAATATCATAATATTTGTTTAATCCTCTTCTTTTGACCAGGTGTTGACAAGTGTGCTTCCATTATTTTAATATATAAAGGCGGAAGAATGACAAATCTGATGTACCATACAGAGATTCAAGCTAAAAATAATGCTGTTATATATGGAACAAAAGGCTTGATTGAGGTAAACTGATATTTATTACATGATATAATATGAATGGTTAAACTTTTTTTTATTTATCTAAATGATATTTTTCCGTATTTTTTGAAGAAAGAAAATAAAATTATTGAATTTTATGAATTTCATATTTTTGAATCATAAAAATATTTCAGTTTCTAAATCATCAAATGTTATTCAATTTGCTTTATAAAAATATATTTTATAAAACAATGACTTTATAAAAATATATTTTATAAAGTCATAAATAAATAAAAAAAATTTAATTCTAAAATTCCACATTTTAAGATTTTTTTAAAATTTACCTTTTTGTGGGACTGATAAGGTTATTTCTGAATTTTTTGGACCTTTATTTCTTATTAAATATTAAAAATAATAATAGCCTGATAAATAAAACAATAAAAATAACCTGAGAATCAACTTATTTCTGGGACCTTTTCCTAACCTTAAGTATCATTCCTTACTTTAAGAATAATCATTTTTATGAAACAGTGCAAAAAAAGTTCTCATCCCATCCAAGAAGCCATTTTAAAAAATCTGATCATTTGGTCAGATTTTTGGGAAGTCGATCAAGCTCAGAACTTCTTAACAGTCCTTTTCAGAGTTCTTTGTTTTATAGTTACTTAATGATTTGGGTGATTTCTAAACATAGGAGGTTTTTATACAGGGTGGTCACTAAAAAAACTGAATAATATAAAACAAAAATAACACAGTGTGCTTAGGACCTCTTCCAATAAGATCACCGACTGATCCAGTTCTTTCAGACTGAGCAGTTAGGTTCTGAATCATGTTATCAGGAGGAGATCATCATCATCATCATCGCCACCATTGCTACCACAACCACCACCACCACCACCATCATCATCATCATCATCATCATCATCATCATCATCATCATTCTTCAACCTCCCTATGGTTGGTCGGAACTCCATTGACAATCCCTTTCCACAGGCCCCCAATGTCCAACCCTGAGTCTCAAGCTATGGTGTCTGGGAAAGTCAATTTTCATAAGAAGACACTTCCAGAAGGATACCACAGGAGTAAGGATGAGATGATTTACCTGACTGCTTGGTGGCAGTAGCTGGTAGACTGTAATCATTTTCCTTTGAGCTTAAAAGAGATTGGTCTCAGTTCTTCATAAATTGTATTAAGCATTGCATGGGATCTCCAACTGATGTTCTGGATTTTTCTAAGTAGATTTGTATATGTTCCATCCAGTCGTCTTTCAAGATGAGCAGATAATATCCAAGTGCCTGATCCATGCAGTAGGACTGGTTCAATCAATGTTTTGACTTTTAAGGAGATACTCTAACATTAAAATGTTGCTGGTATTTTCTCTGACTTTGAATAATTGATTTTTCACTAGAATAGAAAAACTCAATGAGTTTTATTCATTGCTGGACACCATACATAGTCATTTTAATCTCCAAGGACATCATACATAGTCATTTTAATCTCCAAGGACATCATACATAGTCATTTTAATCTCCAAGGACATCATACATAGTCATTTTAATCTCTATAACATGAAAAAAAATAAATAAATAAAAAAGATTGAAAACAAACAAGTTATGACTTTGAATAATTGTAATTCATCCAGCATGGACTTCCCTACTTCAACAGAAAATACAAAAAAAATAGAAGTATATTTTTTTTTTCTACACTGGTTTAGAAATGACATTTCTTTCTTTCTTTAATTATTTCTCATGCTTTCAACTTATGCATGTCTCACGAACTCAATTCAATCAAAGTTTCCTTTTCGTTAATCTGAATTTATAATGTATACAGTGTAGTTTAAGTCACTGTTTCATTTATTTCTCAGGAGTGATCAAGGATTGCAAAAGCTTTCTGAAATATATCTGTTTTAACAATAAATTATCCATTGGAATTACAAGTTTTTATTCTTTTTAAGTTATGACTTTTCAAACCCTTCAATCTTTCAGTGGCCACCCCATAATTACTGAATTCTAAAAAATATTCTCATATTCAGAACTTATAAATTTTTAGAATTTTGTAAAATATCCAAGTTTTAAAATCTGAATTTAAAATCAGAATTTTAAGAACTTAGCTTTTTTAAAATCAGAAAAATTGGTGAATTATTTTTTAAAGTTTTATAAAAGATTTTTAAGATTTCAATTATCTAATAAATCTTTTGATTTATAAAAGCATTAGTTTTGCAATTCAGAATTTCATACACTGAGGCTTTTGAGAATTCTGAAATTACTATTTTTTTAGAATGTCATGGACAGAAAAATATCAGGCCTTCTTTTATACCTGACTATACCTGTCCAAATATTATTTGCACTCCATTTCAGGTAGATTTTTTTTTGTTTGATTTAATTATGAATTTATTTACTTTTTTTATAATCAGGTTCCTTGTCCATTCTGGGCAGCTACAAAAGTAAAAATAAATGGTGATGAAATGGAGTTTCCACTGCCTACAAAAGATGCAAAATTCAATTTCATTAACACTGCTGGTTTTTCATATGAGGCAGAATGTGTAAGAACATGTATTGAAAATGGTAAGTTAGGCACAGGCATTACTTTATAAACAGATTTCCAAACTTGAAACCCTTCTTAATTAATAGTTATTTTCATACTCATAAAATCTGCAGTGGCCTAAATACTGAGAATAATAATAATAATGATTGCAAAACAATAGCATATTATTGAAATGGCTAATTTATCACCATGAAAAAAATCCTGACTTATCTTTTCTACTGGGAAATAGGTCAATTAGGTCTATTGTACATCTGAGAGATTCAGTATACTTCTTACATTGACCAGTTTCTTGTTAGAATGGTAAATCCTTTAGCAGAAAATATATGATTATACAATGAGAACTCAAATCTGTTTGTTGATCTGAGCAAGGATATATCTATCATATCCTCTCTTAATGACTAACATCAACATTATGGGTCTTATCCATGAAGATTCCAGCTGATAAAGCCAGACGTTTTCTCTGAAATGGAACATAACCAACAAGAATGGCAGTTGAAAATCTAACGGGAATTCTCTAGACATTGTGTTTTCTTGCAAATACTTTGCACTGTATTTTACTTCTTTGAAGAGAGAATAGCAATAAACTCTTACTCCTTCTATAAAAATTCAAACAAACATGCACACACATACACACACACACACACACATATATATACATATATATATAATATATATATATATATGATATAAAAGGAACAAACACTAATATTCCATGGTTATAATTTATTGCATTAGAATTGTAATCACAATCCAATTCATCAGACCTACAAATTCAAAAAGCTTTTTGGATCATGATTATCATTTCAATGCAATAAATTAGAACCATGGAATATTAATGTTTGAACATTTTAGATTATATTCTTGCTCTGTCCTGGACATTGTGCTCTACCTGGGTTCTATCCTCTTGAAATTTTATATATATATATATATATATATATATATATATATATTGACCACTAATATTATCTCTCTCTCTCTCTCTCTCTCTCTCTATATATATATATATATATATATATATATATATATATATATTTTATTTTATATGCACCGTACTTAGTGGAAAGAGCTCAATATCACCGATAGAGCTAACATATTCAGTTGTATGGATTGATGCAAAGGTGGTAGATCTGAAAAGCGTCAAGAACACCCCTACCTGCTCCTTGTTGAAAGAAACATCACTACAAATATAAAAGCTATGGTCTCAACACCAAAACAGAATTACAATTGTGTATGTATGTATGCCAAAACACATGGATATATATCTGTGCCTAAACTCAGATTGTTTATATGGATGTGAACCAAAATGTGTACACCTGTGTTTCCGTATGAGAGTGTCACCCCCACCAAACATAGTCAAACAATCATAAATAGATCCAATTTTATAAAATAAACCAGTTTGATGATCGCAAAAGTGTGAAAACCAGGGTCACAGACCTATTTCAACCAACAAAAACTTTGTCAGTCTTATTCAACCCCAGTATATAGACTGAGTATGTGTTGGAATTAGAACTTTAACTGTGACAACTGTCAAAAAACTAATACGGAATTTATCCATTTCAATGTTTCAGCCAGACAAAAGGCACAAGACAGAGGTCAGGGGAGGGTGGAAGGTATTATCTTTAAAAAGGAGGAGTTCTTATAAAATTAAGCCCATATATTAACCTTATGACATTAAATTGCTGTTATATGAAGAATGAAGTGTTAATTTGAAACCGAGAGAGGAACGAAAAGGTTTTTTTTAAATTTAAATAGATAAGTTTAAACTTAAAAATACAAATTCCTACTTAAAAAATACTCTTCAAAAGACAAGTTATAAAAATAAGACATATTTCAATAAATTAAAAATGACTTAAAAATAAGTTATATTTAGAAAATTTATATTAAAATTAAGTAAAATTATATTTTAAAAAAATTATAATACAAAAACAATAGGTTATGTTAAAGAATAAAAAATATTTAAAAATAAAAATTTAAGATAAAATTAATTATACATTAGAAAAAACTTTTTTACCTTAAAAGATCAGTTAAATCAAAACCAAGTTATATTTAAAAAAATATAAAATTATACTTCAAAAATACATAATACTACAAAATTATATTTAAAAGACCTAAAATATATAGATAAAGAGATGTAAGTGATAAAAGGGAAGAGAGTTCTTAGAATGGGATAATTATAAGATATAATTAATATGGTGTAAAAATGGACATATAGAAATTAGAATTAGTTATACATTCGACATTTGAAGAGTTAGAGAAATATAATAGCTAATAATTAAAATCTATACTATGGAAATTTAAATTTGTTTTTATGTCGACATTTAAAAACTAATTCATTCATATATATATACATATATATATATATATATATATATAACAATGATTGTAATTCACCAAAAAATGGTCAACTGGAATAGTTTTGGAATATAACATTTTTAAGGCAAGCAGTCTTTGTAATTATAGTGCTTGATATGAAAAGATATAACATTATTATGTTCATTCATCTTGCCTCTATTCTGAATTTTGTAGATTTACATCCACTCTTCAGTAAACTTGAAAGTAAAATTAGATTCTCCTTAAAAGATGTTCATATATGATGTAAATTTTAATTTGTTCAGGAATATGAATAAGCTATTTTTTAAATTTGATTAGAAGTTAGGTATTACCTTTGAGGTAGTTTCCTAAATTGTTAATCTAGTGAAGGGTTCTAACTAATTATACTTTATTACATAATTATTTCATGTTTCTAAATATCTGTTAAGTATTTCACTTATATTTATATTATCATAATTAAAATCCAAAAAGTAAAATAAAGTGGATAAAAAATAGTAGGCTGATTTATGTTACACAAATGGAAGTCAAAAAGAGACTTTGCATTCATACACAAGAAGTTGGAATATTCTGACATCATGTCAGCTATTTTGAAATAACAAAAAATGAAATAAAGTGTGACACGTTTTTGGTGACAAAATCAAGAGACTCTCTACCCAGGTATCTGGTGACAAATGTCAGCAAGGTGGTGTTCATATTGTACAAGACATTCATCAAAGAAAACCCTCCTCCCTTGATTACAAATGTTCCTCCTTTAGTTTCTTTCTTCAACAACACATTTGCCAATAGCATGCTTTATGGATGCTACACAATTAATGATAACAAATGGTATTCATCTGAATTGGTATAAGCATAAAATAGCCTAAAAAACAGTAGAAAGTTTTTATATATATATATATATATATTATAAAATAAAGAACAAGTAAGAAATATATCTCAATCTAACATGTTTCACCTTTATTAAGGCTTCATCAGAGATCGAGAATAGAAATGAAAAAAACAAAAGACAGAGTACTGATATATATATATATATATATATATATATATATATATATATATATATATATATATATATATATATATATATATATGGTACATACTTGTCAAATAAGTTGGTCTTCCCAAAGAGAAGGAAACACTTAAAACAAAGTAAGGAACTTTGGATAGAAATGGAATACATCTAACTTTATTCAAAGAATAGCAAATATTCCATAAAAGCCAAAGCCCAAATTTTTGCTTGTAGGTTTATAAAAAGACTCAGGCAATCTTCATGATGGATAGCCAACATTGTTAACAGTTTGCTAAAGTTCCCTAATTACCCATATTTGATATAATAGATATCAACTACAAAAAGCTTTTTTTTGATAATTCTTTTAATCATTGTTTTTTTTTATTTTTTCTTACCTGATTTTTTTCTTACCTGGACAAACTTGAATATTACTTGTAATTGCCATACAATTCTGAACAATCAGCTACGAAACAGAAATCTGTTGCATGCATTGCCTTCCATAATGCATGCATTGTGCTGCATCGTGTATTGAATTGATTCACTGATTCTTCCATTGTCTGAATTCTTTGTTTAATGATTCAATTATCATGTTTGTAATACTTGTCAAACATGTTTGCTTTTATTTCACTTGCTCTATCTTCCCGCAGGTGAGTTGAATATAATGATGAAGAAATCACAAGAATTCAATGAGAATATGAATAAAACTTGTGCTAATGATAGTGTTCTGATTTATTACCTCATACTTTAGACACAATTCTGATTGCTATAAGCACTTTGTAGAGGTTTATGTTGTCAATTCAATAAGTACAGTACAATTCTAAAAAATTTTCTTATTCTTCTGCCTAAAAGTTTTGAAAAAATAATTATATCAATCTCCTTTTTGAATCTTTTAATTTACTGCACAATATTGATATTTATTGGTCTTAGCAAAGCACAATACCATAAATGGGAAGATAATATTATGGCTATATTTCTACATGCCTAGAGAGTCAGCTTTTAAAATCACTAGGAATTTGTAAGGATAAAGAAAGCGCTTATCTCCCTTTAGTGGAAATAAGTCATATGGGTCACATGACAGCTGCTTAGTGACATTACTCCATACAGTGATGAAAGCAACAGCCAAATTCAGTTCATTTTACAGCAGCAAACTGAAAAGTTTTTTTTTTAGTCTGGGCCAAACAGCCCAGGCTCAGGTTAAACTGCCTCCCCTGCAGCTTACAAGTCCATAGTGCCATTTCTTTTTGCAAATATATCTTTCCCATATATAGAATGAAATTCCAGCTAGCAATCCTCAATTTGGGAAAAACATAGGACTCAATGTTTCTATTCATGGAATATGTCCTTGCCTGGGACACAGATGAATCTCGACCATTTGAATCTAGAGTCCTAAATGTGGCTTCTCCAGATACAGGAGTATTTCCATATTATATGTAAGACCCTTCCTTTTTGTTTCCCCTTACACTCTGCTTTGTTGTATAGATATATGTGATATATTATTCCCTGCATGAGACATGTGTATATATGTATATATATGGTTTTGTGTATGTCTTAGTGATATAAAAGTATCTCTGAGAACAAAGCATGTTTGTCATTACTTTTCCTTTCAGCCATTCTGTTCTGACTGTGAATTATGGTGTTATTATATCACAGATATAATAATACCCATAATGGGGGAAATACACCAGAGAGAATAAATCTTTTTTCAAAGCTATCCCACATTACAAATTGAACAACAATTTCCAACACCAGTGAGGAAATAATACTTAACTATCTTTGAATCAGACTGGATGCTTTTCTTAGTATTCATATGAAGGGGATAAAGATTATTTATTATCCTTTTTTTGTGGGTTTTGAACTTAGAGCAAATAACTCATTATGTTTTCAAAGAATTTTTCTACTCCATAAGTGTAATCTTCAATCAGTGTCTACAAACCAAGTAGAATTCTTCTTAAACTTAATAATCAAATAAGTAACTAACACTGTCTTAATCATTGATTTCATTGTATTTTCAGCATTATTGAAATTCCATGTTCAAATGTGACCATGTGATAACATTTGAAAGAAAGGGATGTTAGAAATATTATCAAAGTTTATGAATTTCAGTCTTAATATTCAAATGTTAGCACAAAAATGAAGATGATACAAATCAGAATTAAAAATGAGAATAATGTTTGTCATTATTGAATAAATATGAAATAAATTTCAAGGAATGTTTCAAGTACAAAGAGATTTTAAGGCAAAATAAGGAAACTTCATTCTAAACATAAATGCAGATATATTCATTGATTATTGTAAAGAAATATTTCTGTTATGAAAATCTTTATTTTTTTTTTTATTTCAGGCCAATTGGAATGTCCACTGTTTCCCCACTCAGAAGCAATCACAATGATGACAATTATGGATGAAGTTCGTCGGCAACTTGGTGTCAAATATGATGTTGATGACATTGAACCATAATAGAATTTATTTTTTTCAACTCTTCAATTCAGTATAAGAGATGAAAATAATTATGGGAATTACATTCTAAATTTAAATGCGATGTCAATCATTATCTACTGTCTTCTTGATTCCTCTTCTTTTATTGTTCTTGCTCCTTAATAATGTTTTTCTTTTTTTATACTTTCACACTTAGTAATCCCATGTGCCTTAGTGGCCTTATTGCCTTGCTTGAGTTGAAATGATTAATATATATGTAGAAATGATCTAAATAAAGAGATATGATCAACCATATATGCGAATGATTATGTACACATACAGGTGAGCAAATAACTATTTACTTAATCAATGGTGTAGACAGAACAGTACTCAATGTAGTTAAACAAAGCTATAAAGTATATATTCATAATTACACACATGGGAAAACCATGAAACTCTGAGTTTTACTGTAAACGTAGGTATATTTGTAATTATTGATATATGCTATATATATATATATATATATATATATATATATATATATATACATATATGTAGTAAATTTCAGTAAATGCCCTTCAGTTTTAGTTTCCCCCGCCCCATCTCTCTCCCCCACCCCTTTTTCTTTTCTTTTCCTCTCCCTCCCTCTTATTCTGATCTTTAAGATTAGATTGTCTATGGTGTGTGTATGTCACCACGAAATGTATCTTTAATGTATTAGACATCCGACAACATTTATATTTCTCTCACTTAAACCTCTTCCACTCTCCTCTCTAAAACTTCTCTCTGTTAAGGCTTAATCTTCCACCTTCTCTCATCTGTTACCCTCTCTTTAGCTCTAACATTCGTCTCACACTCTCATACTTACACTAACTCTAAATTCTATTTTTATTTCCGGAGTTGTTTTTTCTGTTTTCTTTTTGAATTTGTAGGTCTGATGAATTGAATCGTATTTATGATTGCAATGGAATAAATTATGACCATGGAATATTAGTGTTTAAGCCTTTTTATTATATATATATATATATATATATATATATTGAACAATAAAAAATATTAAAAAATTGAAATCTTCAGACACACTGGGTTGTATATTAATATTCTTTCATTTTTATTATTATTTCATTTAGATTCCTTGACTAGTTTTGGCCAACATGGCCATCATCAGGAGAAAAAATTTTTCTACTTGCTGGTAGCATTGAACTACAGAATATATATATATATATATATATATATATATATATATAGGAATATGACTGTTTTCTTTTATTGATTTTCCTTTTTATAAACATGTTTGTGTGTTTCTTGTTTTTGATGGTATCATTCATCCTATCATAAAATTTGTCAAACATTCTTGTTTACTTGGCATTTAACTTAATTTGTATCTAATCCACTTAATAATGTTTGAATGCCATGTTTTTCAGTAAGAGAAACATCTCATGATGTTATGTGGAAAATCTGTCCCAGCTTTCCCATATGAAAGGGTTGAGGTTAAAAAATGTGACAAAATTTTAAAAAGCAACAATGGCTTGAAAGATTAGAGTGGACAATTCTCTATTTTTAGGCAGAAGAATAAAGACTCAAACTCCTGCTTGGTGTGTAACAATAAAAAAAGGAAATGTTTATTTACATGCACAAAAAAGGGTAAAAGATATACAATTACGAGAGAAAGAAAGGGAGAAGAAAATTCCTTTAACTTTAAAGGAAGAAAAAATATTCATAAAAAATAAAGACATGCTCAAAATATTTCTCTGAGTGCCTAAAAAATTCTTTAAGCAAGTAGATTGTTGAAGGGTTAAAACACTCACAAATTTCTTCAGAGTTCTTACATAGGAGAAAACTGTCGAAAGATACAAATTTTGTAGTTGAGTGAGTTCATAGGCCAGCAGCAGAAATTTAATTGCAAAGAGGCAGATCTCAATTGGTTTTTAGTGGTGGGCTAATGTTCTGTCTTTACAGCCCAGTAGGTAATTCTTTCTTGAGGCTGTCTCCAAAGATGACTGGTGTTCTATTGCTGACCTGATGTTATCACAAATGGTTGTTGAATTCTCACTGGCAAATAGGCAAAGATTCTCTATATTTATGGAGATTAGGAGGCCCAGAAATATCGGGGACTTTTCCCTCCAAAATTGCTATACAAATTTCCTGGACCCTTCATTGGTTAGAAAATATATTCTTATCTCTGATAAGAACCAAGATTTTGGGAGCTGTTTTTTGGAAGCAAGGGTCCAACAGGACATGAGCATTACCTCCAGACTTTATGGCACCATGGACAGGATAATGGTGGTCAAACACCTTTTTATATTTTCCAGATCTCTCATTTGTCAGAAAATATATTCTTATCTTCTTATCAAGGCTTTGGAAGCTGAATTTGAAAGCAGGGGAAAAAAGTTGGGGTGAGGATTGAAAAAGAGGGTAGAACATGAACTTGTAAAGCACTGTAGCAGTGGTTCTCAAAATTAAATTCTAATAGTTAACTACAAATTGGAGATGTCAGAATCAAACAAGTACAGAGCTACAAATATCAGTGAAATGATTTGACAGATAAGAGAAAATGTGACACTGAAATCCAAAGGCAAAAGATGCTTGTAAAATTTGGTAAACATATTTTCTTTCAGATTTAACAGCAAAAAAAAAATCTACATTCAATATTTATTTTTAAAAAGATAATTGTAATTTTTCAGTGAAATCTTGAAATTCAGCCAGTTACTGTTTGTGATAAGAGGATTTTATTTTCATTAAATAAAACATGTTTGAAGAATCAATGAAAAGTTTAGTGTTATTTTCTAGTGTGGACATTTTTTAAAAGAATTTCATTGCATTTTTTTTTTTTAATTTTTACTACCATTAGATTATTTTTTGTATGGAAGCTCAAAAAGAAATATTTCAATAATTCTGCATGCACTTAGTTAACTGTCTTCAATAATTCTTTATCAATTTTTCCCATTTTTTGGAGTATTTTCTTTTGTTTAATAAATTTTAAATTCAGAATAATTAAACAAGACTTCTTTTAGGACATTGAAAATATACAAATATAAATAAATATACATTTTCAAATTCCCTCTCCAACTACAATTTCATCAAGTGTAGAAATAGACAGGTAAAACCAGACTTGGTGTTGCACTCCACACAGACATCATAGTAAGCGCCCCTTATGATTCTTCTCAGACAATTGGAATATGGCAGAAAATATTAAAATTTGGCTTTCATTTGGAGCCTATCTCCAACCTATATAAGATTAGACCAAAAGCCACACACCTGATTCACATGGAGCACACACACACACGCACACACACGAGGACTGTTATGAAAAGTGATTGTTGTTGTATTTTCTCAGTCTGTCATTAGTCATTAATCTTATGTATCCTATTCTCCACCCCCCCTTACTGCATGAGCACTTATATAGTCTCTATGCCTTAGCTAAACTAATTAGGTACTCATTTACATATCACTACATTTCCCTAAATCTTCTTCTGGTCCTTAATTCATTTTCAAGGTTTCTTTGATAGCCACTCTACATCTCCCATGATATTAATGAAGACCTCAATCTGTCTCATATTCAGAACTCTCTTGCTCATTCAACAACTCTTACGAAGCTTCAGCATATTCATTTTGGCAATCTTTTTCATGCATGCATTCATCTTCAGACATTTCCTCCTGTAAAGGTGAGTTTCATTTTTGTTTGACAAAGTTATTACTTGAAATATCGGTAGACATTTTTGGTTATTTTTCTCTTCCTCTTATTAGTCTCATGACCTTAGTTGATCTGCATGGGAAAGTCTGCTAGCTCCATTTCTTCTTGTTACAGCTGTGTTATTTCGTTTTTACATTATGAAATTCGCCTTTTCAGGAACTGATTCCTTATTCTTTTTATACCCAATTCTTTCAGCAGTAGAATATAACATAGTTAAAGGAGCTCTGGTTTGCCTTCTCATTAAGACAAATGACAAATGGGCTCTCTAAACTTTACAGCATGTGGAATAGTGCAGTAACTTAAAAGCAGTCTCAGATTTCCAGTAAGATTTCTAGTTTTTCTTTTTGTTGTGAACATGCCTTTATGCTCACCTTTATTGTTTCCACTATTCTTTGTATTATCCCATTCGATTAAGGTGTCTTCTAAGGTGTAAATCCTATTTTTTTTAGTCATCAGTTAAGTCCTTCATCGTAAAATTCAGAAGGGCTTTCAGGTACCAGGGTTTTTGGTATTCCATTTTTAGAGAATACGACTTTTTTTTTTTTTTACATTAGAAATTCTTTTGTCAGGTACACGAATTACTCCAGGCCAAGCTGAAAAAGAATCTACTAATATTAATAAGTATCCCACTCCATTAACATACATGTGATCTATGTGAACATGATTCTATGGTTCCAACTCTTTTGGCCATATGTATAGTTTACTTTTCATAAAGTATGTTATTTCTTTACATTTCAGGCTTCTTTTAACATATTTCTCCACATCTCATGAATATCCTGGTCACCATGGTTCTAACTTTAACCTTTTTGTGTAGATGCTATTCTACAGTGTATGCCATCAACTCCTGGCAGTTGTTGCAACAGAAGTAGTTGATCTACTTGACTACATTCCAGTGGAAAAGCACTATGAAATGCTGAAAAATGCAGTAATTAGACATATCAGAAAATCGGATGAGAGAATGTTACACAATCTATTTAATAATTTGAACCTGTGTCACACGAAGCCTTCACAGTTACTAAGGAAAATGCGAGCATTACTAGGAGACAATTCTATGTCCAATGCAGTGTTGTAAAAATTGTGGGAAGGCAAATTACAACCACACACAACACAAATATTGGCATCACTTCCCCATGAATTGCAATTAGAGAGAGTATCAGAGAGAGCAGACAAAATACATGATAACAACCAAGACAAAAGCATATATGCCACATCATACTCAACAACAAACAAATCACCAGCAATAAACAAGCCAGGAAAATCATGTCAGCTGGAAAAAAACATAGAAAATCTTACCATACAAATCCAGAGTTTGGTACAAAAATCAAAAATTTCAGTTCCTTGCCCAGAA